GTGGATCTAAAGTTAGCGCTTTTAGTAAACGTAACACTGAGCCGGCTAACATTTTTCCGGTTAATTTTGGTTCCGATTCTATATCTTTGTATGCATCCTCTAGAGAATCCACAAATGCAACAAAATCTTCTCTAACCTGGCCGTTGTAAACATATCGTAAGCTCAAAGACAATTGCTCAATACCATATATGTCAGTTGTTTCATCAAATAAAACTGAATAAAATTTGGCTGCTTTAACTCTCTGTACAATAGTATCTGTAATAATATCGCCAATTGTGGTTATGATTTCATTTTGAATCGTTTTGCTTATGTATGTCGCATTTGATTTACATGATTTTAAATGTTCTTCAAGAACATGGTCTCCAGCATCGACCCTAAACTGAAGTAGTTCTCTGAAAATACCCTCATTTCTAACTGGACCGGTACCATATACCCCTTCATTAAGCATGTCATTGTCCAAATTTTCATCATCTTCATCATCATCATTATCAGCATCGCCTGCATCATTAGTACTTATATTAAGTTTTCCGTCATCTCGATGTCCTCGTAGAGAAATATTTTGTTTTCCCAAAAAAATAATAGATTTAATTATGGGCTTCAATCTTTCTCTGTTTTCCTTCATTTGCTGATATCATGCGGAATAGAGTTGATTAACAACTTCAAATGATGGATTTTGGTATGATTTGACAAAATCATTGCCCCTCTGAACTGACTCTTTGTGATACCTGTATTGTTCATGACAGCTGAGATCACCATCTTTGCCTAATAATTTTGCAAATGATGTAAGTGGTTTTTTTACTAATTTTTGCAATGGCGTTTGATGACTAATACCGCCGGTGTCAGCCATTAGAGCACAATACCTGCAAAATAAACCTTGTTCCACATGCGAGTATGTCAACCATGCATTAAATGTTTCCAAGTGACTTTTCAAAATGTACCGTTTTTCATTTTTACCATTTTTAATATGATTTGAATACGGAAATTTGTAGCCAAATTCTGGTTTCCATGGATTTTGTAGAAGTTCAAATTTTATATCATCATTAATTGTTTTATTACTGCTGCCCACATACAGTCCAATATCATTATTATGTACAAAATCCATTTGTTGATAGACTTTTTCATTATTCTTTATCTTGTTATCTTCGTCATTATCGTGCAAAGCTACTTGCTCAAATGATTTATCATTTTTAACAATCACTTTTTCATTATGATTATCGGAACTA